GTGCAAATTGAGTAAGAGTCATAGTGTGAGTTGCGTTCGCAAATAACAAAGTGTCAAATTATTTTGAGCGCCGTTCGAAATAAATTTAGTCAAAATCACACAGAAACACACACACACAACACACAAATACTAGTACTCAATAATATCGCGATTGACCAGTCATATAGCTGCTTGAACTACACACACAAGGACGTAAATATGTAAATACAGGTCACAGTTCGATTTGCGTAGCAAACGTTACAATGTGTCAAGTGATTTGAAGGCGTCTTTTTTCCAAAACAGAGAAGCAATAGGCGTTGTATTTTGAATCGTCATTAAAACCTAAATTTATTACGAATAAAAACTTAAGTTTATACATACAATGTACGATCATTGTTACTCCAGCGGTCGGTTGGCAAGCGGACGGTGTTTCTGAAGCCAGTCATAGCAGGAGCGAGCGAGCGAACAAAAGCGAACGCGAATGAGCGGAAAAAAACGGCGGTCGGTTTCCGGTCGGAAAGCAGCGAGCGGTCGGAAATTAAGCGATAAGCGGTCGGGAAAAAAAGCGATAAGCGGTCGGGAAAAAAAGCGATAAAAGCGGGAGGTTGGGCGGAATGAGTACTGTAGTCCCGTTTATAGTCTGTACTTTCCTTCAGAAGATTAGAACAAAAATAGCAAAAATTTTTATATAAATTTTGTCTGTTGGCTCCAAAATAAGTTCATTTCTAAAAATGTTGAAGAATATAAGAATAAAGTACAGAAAAATGTGGGCGAGGAAGTCTGGTTGTGAAAAAAGCTAAATGTCTAACTGCTGTTAGACAAATCTAATTATATGGATACAGGGGATTATAGTTGTGGGTTCGTTGATATTAATTCTACCATAGCGTGCAGGGCTTTTTCTAGAAAAAAAATGCAAGAAGGAGCACTGCTGTTCAGCAGCACCACCAAGTGGGGGAGATAGGGTTCTCCCTACCAGGGTGTGGAGTTTTGATAATTCTAAGTTAAAACGGAGCATTCTATAGCTTCCCTGGGGCCAAAATTACTATCAGACAGGTCACAGTTGAAGACTGTGGCTACATGTGATCCCTGGTCAGTCAGACTATTATGGTTGCCAGAGGATCTGCTCCCCAGGCTAAGGAGGCGCATGGCCATGGCATGAGGGCGCTGCGCCCCTGTTTCCTTGTTTAAAAAAATCCCTGGCGTCTCCATGTA